ACATTTTACATTGAATGTCTCAATTTTAATGGTTATCAGTAGATATCTCTTACAAGTACTCTCATTTTCTTATCCATTTTATCTTCTTTGCTATTCAGTTTAACTTTTTTCTTAGTTTGTGCAAACTTTTCCATTCAGGGAGTATTGAGCACCTACTATGTGCAAGGGACTGTGCTGTTAGTCCTCTCAAAGTTTCCATGTGGACATGCTAATATTATTCCCATGCTAATATTATCCCCATTTTTTAAATGAGTAAGTTAAGGCAAAGAGTGGTCAAATTATATGCCTGAGATTCTACTTCCATCCAGCAAGTAGAGGAGTTGGGATAAAATTTCAGGAAAATTGGCTGTGTAGCTTCATGCCCTCAAAAACTACTGCAATGCCAGCTTTTTCTCGATTCGTGTTTCTCTCAACACATTCCAATTATGTTTACTTGTCTCATTGTAATACTTGGTCAGCCTCGGGACCTGCTATTTCAAGTAGATGCCCACATCTCCTTTTGGGTTTTACTAGTTACCCCTGTAGGTTGATTTTTTTTTTTTTTTAATGGAAACTCACAGGAGAGAATGGTAATGGGGGGCATTTTTCAGAGTGGAGCATGGCTTTTGTATCCTTTCTTCCTTTTGAGAAATAATCCCATCATCGATATTTCCATATCATTTGGGAATATTTGGGGCACTTCTTCACATGCCTGGTCCAAGTTCAGGTTGGAGGAGGGGAGACAGATGAATAGTGCTTGGTTGTTACACAGCATCCGTGCACTTTTGTGGGAGAAAGTGCTGCCTCGGAATTTCTGAAGAAAGTCAGAGAAAGAAATGTATTATGTGAGTCTGACTCATTGAGTAGAATGGGCAAGATAAATGGTGGGAAAACCAAAACCAACTTTTCTATGACCTTATGTGAAATTCTGCTCCGTGCCCTAAGAAAAATGTTAAAAATGATGTGGTCATAGTGGAGAGTAGCCGCCCAGAGACAGTATTGGAAGGAGAATTTCTAATTTTAAAAGGAAGCTTGCTAACCTCATAGCCACTGCTAATGGCCCGTATAAATATTAATAAAGCTTTAAACACCTCCCAAATTAGCTTTATTTTTAAATCAAAAGTGCAAGACATGGAAGTGGTAATTTGTGTTAGTCCGGCAGACACAAAATTAATTGAGATAAAAATAAGAAATAGCAGGCAAACCCTTTGGGTGAAAAAATAATGAGTTGTATACTAACTCACTTAGACAGTTTCAAGTGTAACATAATAACGAGAAATGATTTCACAATGTTGAATTGAGAATTTGTCAGATATATTGATGCTCCTCAATAGCAGATTCAAAATTGTAAAAAGCAACTAAATTCAGATTCTGTGGTTTTATCATGTCCCATCATTCTGGATGAGAAAGCTGCCTCCCGTGTAAAGCTTTGGTTTCACCTCATATTACTATATCAGGTATGCTGTTTTATGTCTGTCTCTTAGCTGGACGGTTGAGATGGCAGAATGAGTGTTGACTTGACAAACACAGGGAAACACAGCGCAAAGAAGTTCACGGCACTTGGAGTCTGTTAAGTTTCCCAGAACAGTGAGCTGACTGCACTAGACTCCTATTTCCTTGGGCCTGTCGTTCACCCCGTGCCACAGTCCCCATTTCTTGTAACTGGCCCTCAGTGCAGAGAGATGCTGCATCCTCCAGATTCCCTTGCTCTGTACGGTCGTAATTATTAGCTGTTATCTCTTATTTATTTTCTCCTCTTCCTAATACTCTATACCTCATTGAAGAATTTCTTTTCAACATTGAAGAATTTCTTTTCGTAATTATCAGCTGTTACCTCTTATTTATTTTCTCCTCTTCCTAATATTCTATACCTCATTGAAGAATTTCTTTTCAACATTGGTAAAATGATTCTTCTGTGAAAGGAGGAGTATTGTGAGAACTAATGAAATTAGATTGCATACTGGGAATTTAAACGTAAAAGAAGAAAACAACCAAACACAGAAGGAACAACTCCTCAAAATGATTTTACATGCCCTGGGTTTCTCTACCGTTAGCCGCTGCTAAAATTCATATCCTCCAATGCCCATTTTATCTCCATGCTATTTTTTCTTATAGGCTTCCTCATAAGGACCCCAGTTTTGCTCTTATTCTCCCCCCCCTTTTTTTTAATCCCATGGGCCAGCTCCTGTTCTCTGTTAACCACTCCAGTTTAGTCAGCCCATTTGCCAGCTTTTCTTGTGCTATAGACGCATCAATTGTTAGAACATTAATGAAAGGTCCAGATTGTTGTGAGCATAGTTACTGTGCTTTTCATGAAGAAATTTTATCTACTTCTAATATTTGCTTTGAAGTAGAATAAGAAACGCAATCATTAATTCTTCACAAGTTTTTTTCCCCACACGTTAATCACTGCCATCTAATTCATTCATTCTGAAGGAGCCAAATAATTAACATGGATTCTTTAAAAAGTGATGGGGAGACAAGAGCAAATTGGGCGGGGTGGGGGGAAGCACAATGGACTATGGTGGTGGACCTTGGGTACTTTGGGAGCATTGTGGTAACAGCATCTGAAAAGACGATGTAAACCAGTGTTAACTCACACACACAAACCGAACTATTAACTATGCAGTGACACAATTTATTCTCAAAAGTAAGTGAGGCTGGGCCTCCCGGTGGCGCAGCGGTTGAGCGCTGGGTTGCAAAGCTGCCCGCAGCCTCTGCAACGCCGGTTCTATCCCCGGCTGCTCCCCGGCCACCAGAGGAGGGTCCCACATGGCGCGCAGACCTCTACTGCTGCCCGCTGCTCCCCTCAACAGTGTACTTCGGGCCTTCTGCCTGCTCTGCTCCCCACTCTGGCTCTGGTGAATTCTCTCACCCTCCCGCGCTTCTGGCTGTGCCCAGTGCTTGTATAAATAAAATAAATAAAAATAATTAAATCTTTAAAAAAATAATAATAATAAGTGAGGCTTTATTACAATGCCAAGTCTCCTTTATTCACCCTGCTTTTCCATCCTGATTCCCACCATCACTTTCTAATGGTAATTGTCATTGACACTTTAGTATATATCTTTTTTTTAGTATGTATCTTTTTTTTAGTATGTATCTTTTTTTAGTATGTATCTGGATATTTTGTAAATATCCAGAAGAAAATGTAATATTTTCTTTTTTAAAAAAAGATTTATTTATGCATACTAGAGATCGGGGGGGGGGGGCGGGTTAGAGGATTCACCAGAGACAGAGTGGGGAGCAGGACAGGCCGACTGACCAAAGTACACTGCTGAGGGGAGCAGTGGGCGAGACAGGAGAAGTCTGCTGTGCCATGTGGGTTGTTCCGTGCCTGGCCGGAGGATCGAACTTGTGCTGCAGAGATGCATATTGCTTCATAGCGTGGGGCTTAACCCCACCAGGGATGCCTGAAAATGTAGTATATTCTGTCTGTGTTTTTGCAAGTCCTGTAATACCAATGTCTCCTGGTCTTCAAACCAAGTGATAAAATTAATATTTAAATATATTTAAATATAACAGGTTAAGCTGTCACTTGAAAATTCAGGTCTATGCAATATGTTGAAAGCAAAATTTGAAAGATGTGTGAGAAACCACGAGGTCAGTTTTTAGCTGATCTCACAGTGTTCTCACAACTGATCTCACTGTTTTACCTCACAGCGAAGATGGTGTTTGAAGGGAGGGGCCTGATCTAACAGCAGTTAGTTGTTCTAGGTTTTTAAGATCTATGAACCTTTATGCCTGCTTCACTGACACTTCCTAGGAAATGGTATTGTTATGTCACTTACCCAATCTAATAGTTCCTGTGTTCCACTAGGCTGAGACGATGACCTTTATTCTGTACAAGTTAAAAGCAACTTCAAATATTGATTAAGAAAGAGTAAGAATTATGTATGAATGTCCTGCAGATTATCAAGTTATATGATGTCTTTTCTAGAGGAGGTATGTTTTAAATGGGAGTTTAAGAAAGTGGTGTAGCATAATTCCTTCAAAATACATGCAGAGCCCAGTCACACCTCACCAGCACCCTTGCTACCACCCTGCACTCATGTGCAGTAGTCATGTCCCCTCACCTCTGTGACTCTCCCCTTGCCTGTCTACCCTCTATTTTCTCACAGTAATGTGAGCACTTTTTAAAAATGTAAGCAAGTGCAAAACTCTCTTGGTCCCTCCTGATAAAAGCAAAAGCTCTATTGATCTGGATTCTGCCATTTTCCTAACTTCCTCTTCTAGCATTCTCATTTCACCCCCTCAACATAGCCACACTGTCCTCCTCTTCGTGGAGCCTCCCAGCAGTCTTAGCTCTGAGCCTTTGCATCTGCTCTTCCCTTTTGTCCACATATCCTTATGCCTAACCCTTCACTTCCTGGAGGAATTTTCTCAGTTATCCCTTTATTGAAAAGACCTTTCCTGATGCCCCTGCCCCAGACCACTCTCAAGCTCCTTTACCATTTGATTCTTTTCTTCATAGCACTTAACTGCCTTCTCATGTAGTGCTTCTTATATTTGTATGTTTATTACTTATCTCACCCCATGAGAATGTAAGCTCCTTCGAAGAATGTCTCCATTTATTTTTGTCCACACTAGCCAGAACAATGCCTGGGACAAAGTTCAATAAATATTCATTCATGGTTCAATAAATATTCATTTAATTAATAGATAATTCATGTAAAACAGCCATGCTAAAAAACAAACAACAGCAACAAATAAACCCTCTGAAGTAAAAAATATGTGTGAGGGACCTTTGTAAAAATCCATCTTAGTTCTCTAAGGTAGCTAGTATATCAGCAGAGAGGGAGGCAGAACACCACTGTGTATTCTTCACCAAGTCGTGGCCTCTTCATATGTTATCAGATTGTAAGGATTAGACTATATTATGCTGTAAATATTGATGTATAGCTTCTGTCAGGGAAATTACAATTTAAGTATGCTACCATTTTGTTTATAATGAGAGAAGAGCCCCTGTTCAGTAAATAATCAAACACACTCTAAGGGAAAGAACATAATGGGAAGAAAATGTTCTTTTATAACATTCTTTTATAACAATGACATAGTTCTGTATGCCGTTAACACCTGCTTGATCGCCTTTAAATTTGTTGCCAATCTTAAGGTTTTCATTTTTGGAGGAAAACTGTTGATAGTTGTTTATAAGCTTCAGAGAGAACATTTGTTTCTTTAGGATCTGCTCCAGGAACATCAGATAGAAGATACTGGAAAGTTTAAAGACAAGCCAGTTAGAAGGGCAAGCAAAATGAGCAATAATTTTAAATTTTATTTTATTCCTAAAGATACATATTGTTTTACCCACTGACATTTACCCACTGGCATCACATCACTTTTTCTAAAATATAATCTCCCATTAAAAGTGATTTCTACTTTTTTCATGAAACTATAAATTTCTTCTCTGTATTAGTTTCTTTTCGCCTATTCACTAGTTTATCATTGCATCATCCTTTGGGTGTGTGTGATCATCAGCATGTCATCATCATTAAGAGGCCTACTGCATATGCATGGCTTCCCATTTAATTCCTAAAACTATTCTTTGAGCTTGTGTTTATTGTCCTCAGGCTCATTGGAAATCAATGTTTAGAAAATTTAGTAATATGCCCAAGGACATTCCAACTAGGAAAAAACAAAGCCAAGATTCAAAATCAGATGTAAGGTGCTACTGAATCTTTCCACCATACCATACTCCTTCCTCAAAAGACCAAGGGCCTCTGGTATCTTCCCATATCTCTCCAGTTAGTTTCTTCATCTATGAAATGAGAATTTGAATAAGAATTTGAAGCCAAGATTCAAAATCAGATGTAAGGTGCTACTGAATCTTTCCACCATACCATACTCTTTCCTCAAAAGACCAAGGGCCTCTGGTATCTTCCCATATCTCTCCAGTTAGTTTCTTCATCTATGAAATGAGAATTTGAATAAGATATTTCTTAAGGTCCCTCTCATTTATCACCCTTTGTTTATGACTTTGTTATTGGTAAGAATAATGGCTACTATTACTGCATTAAATTCTTTACAAATATAACTTATGAGTGTGATAGGATTGCCTGGTGTTTTAGATGAAGCTTTGAGCAGTTAAGAAACTTGTCCAAGGTAGCCTCTCTTTTAAATGCAGAACTCCTACATAAACCCAGGTTTGAGCTATTGTAATACTGTATTGCTATGTACAGTTTCCATATTATTGCATACTATCTTTGTTTTTATCTCTTGGTAAATATGAGAAGAATCTACTCATTCAGCTGAATTTGCTGAATCTACAAATTCAGCAACTGTGTTGAGTGTATATTTTGATCAGACTCTTCTATGAATTCAAAGATGAGCCAAGTTTTGTCCTTTTTCCTAGGGAATCCACAGTTCACTGGTGCGTGGAAACTCAGATAATTATAATACAGTACAAAAAAACCAATAGTAGTCCTTAAATAGAGGCCCGTGGAATTAGAGAAGTGATCTCAGATCTGGGCATTGAGTCATGAATAGGAATTTGACAGTGGAAGCAGGGAACAGCCAACAATGACAGAAGAAACAACGTAGAAAGGCAAATATACAATATAACATGGTTTAATTTGCCAGTAAAAAGGAATGAAGTACTGATAATATACTAGGCAATGTGTATAAACCAGCATTATGCGCACAACATATGCTAAATGAATGAAGTCAGTTTCAAAAGGCCACATAGTATATGATACTGTTTCTATGAAATATCCAGAATAAAACAATGCAAAGAGAATGTCTAGGACAGAGGCATGGAGGAAGGTGGAAGGGAACGAGGTGTACTGCTAATACTTACGGGATTTCTTTGTAGTGTGGTAAGAATATTCTAAAACTGTGTAAGCTGTGGTTACACAGCTCTGTAAATAAAAACCACTGAAATGTGTGCTTTAAATGAGTGAACTGTACAGTATGTGAATTATATCTCAAAACAGCTTTTATAAAAAGAAAGGCAAGTAATGAGTGTCACAGAGTATAGACTACTTAGGGAACAATGAGAAGGCTGTTGACTAGGAGACAGGTTATGAAGAAGTAAGATCCATGAGGTCGACTGCTCTCTCTTGGCAAAGAGCCTTCTGCATCAGATGACAGCCTCTGTCTTTTTTCACCCCACATTTTGTCTTAAAGTTTACCCACTTTGTTGTGTATAGGTCGTTTTTCATTTTTGTGTAATATTTTATCGTGTAAATGTACCACAATTTATTATTCATGCATCTGTTCTCAAACATTTGTTTTCTTTCCAGATTCTACTTTTATAAACATTACTGCAATAAACTTTTTTAAATAAATTGCCTACTGGTACAAGTCTCGGAAGACAGAATAAAGTACGGTGCTAGTTTTATAAAGTTCAAAAATGAACAAAACTTTTAAATACATATTCAGTCCGGATAGCAGCATACCTGTGTGGTAGGACTCTATCAGTACAAGGAAGGGAATAATGAACACAATGTTAATCACAGTGATTTTTTTTTTTTTTTTTTTTTTTTTTTTAGTGCAAAGAAGGCTCAGGGGATCATGCAAGTTGCGATAATGTTCTACTTCTAGATTGGGTGGTGCATTCATAGGTATTTTTTAATTCAGTAAACTTTTTTTGTTTAGAATGATTTCAATTCCCAAAGTTATTGCAAAGATAGTACAGAGAGTTATGTATATACTGTGCCCGTGACCCCCTATTATTAACACCTCCCCTTACTCTAATATGTTGGTCATAATGAACCAGTATTAGTATGTTATTAACTGAAGTTCATACTTTATAGACATTTCCTTACTTTTTACCTAATGCCTTTTTCTGTTCCAGTGTCCCATCCTGGATGCCACAGTACATTTAGTTGTCATGTCTCCTGAGGCTTCTCTCAGCTGTGAAAGTTGTTCAACCTTTCCTTGTTCTTTTAACATTTACAGTATTAAAAAGTATTGGCCAGGTATTTTACAGAGAGTCCCTCCACAGCAATTTCTCTGATGTTTTACTCATAATTAGATGTAGGAGGAGGATCACAGTGGGGAAGTGCCACCTCACAATATATCAAGGGTGTGTACCGTTGTCATGTCCGTTCATGCTACGTTTGATCAGTTGGATGGGGTGGTGTTAAGTTTCTCCACTGTAGTTGCTTCTTCCCCACCTTGTCATACTGTCTGTTTTGAGGAAGTCACTGAGCACAGCCACACTGAAGGAGTGGGGCGTTTGCACTACCTCCTAATGAATGAAACACCTACATACGTAATTTGGAATTCTGCACGAGAAACTCATCTCCGCTCCTCCATTCCTATTTTATAGTTTGGGTTGTGATTCAGCACTGCTTTATTATGTTGCTCAAATTAGCCCAGTTTTGGCCATGGGGAATTCTTTTATTCTGTTGTGTCCTTTTGACATACTTTCATCATTGTGAAGTTTTAGGGTTTTTGGTTTCTTTGACACTTCCTCATGATCTGGCACTCTAAACTGCTTTCAGATTCATCTTGTGTATTTCCTGCCCCAGACCTACAAACAGCCATTTCTGTAAGAAACACTGGATTTTTTCCTTGGCCAAGATACCAAGATACCAAGAACATGGTGCTTGGATCACTCATTGCTACTGGACTATTGTTGCCACTCCACTCAGTCTTCTGAGCTGACAGTGCAAGAAAGTATGTGTGGGTGCTCTAACCCATGTATTTACATAGGTCCAGAAAGAGTTTTACATGTGAACTTCTGTTTCCATATTAAGCTAGAAATCAGTTCGTACCCATTCAGCTCTAATTCATTTCTTCAGGAATAATTCTAGCCTTTTACCCTTGTTTATATGAAATCTGTCTCCAACGGCAAGTAACCTGGTTCCCACCACCCACCATTCATTTACTTAATTGTTTGATTTCAGTGTACATATATAGTGGTTTCCAAATTGCTCATTCATACCCCCAGGAGAAACAATTTTGTCAACTAGAGTGTAATTCTCATGTACAGTTTACCTTTACTTTTATTCTTGCAGATTACTTATTTCCAAAGTTACTTAAGTAACTTTACATCATTTAACACCTATGCCTCCACACCCATTAGGTCGTAGGTGCCACTAAGATCACCTTATGCCTCTACAGCCTATAGTGTGGTTGTTTTATACATTCAGATTTTTTTGTCATTCTTTGCATTCTATTCTAGGATCCCTTGACCTTCTAGTTGATTTTTTTTAATTTGTAATTTGCAGAGGTTAAAGTTGAATCTTTGTGCTGTAAAGTTCTATGACTTTTGAAATATTCTTAATGTCTTATGTCTAACTTTACAACATCATACAGAATAGTCTTAGCTCCATAAAAAAATCTCCCATGTTTTAAATGAAACTCTGGCAACCATTGATTTTTACCACCTCCAAAATTTTGATTTTTTCCAGAATCTCATATAATTGAAATCATACAGTATGTTGCCTCTTTAGATTGAATTCTTTTATTCAACAATATGCATTTAAGTTTCATCCATGTCTTTTTGTGGTTTGATAGTCCATTTCCTTTTTTTTTTTTCTGGAAGATTTTGTTTACTTTTTTGTGTCGAAGAATTGGGATGTAGGCCAGAGGTGAGGGTGGGGGCATGTGAGAGGATTCACCAGAGACAGAGTGGAGAACAGAACAGGTGAATTACTGAAATATACTGCTGAGGGGAGCAGCGGGCAATACAGGAGAGGTTTACTGCGCCATATGGGTTAACTCCCTGGCCGGGGATCAAACTCAGGCTCTTGTGGTGGGCTGTTTTACAGTTGTGGAAGCCCTGAGACTTAACCTCTAGGCCACCAGGGAGACACTTGTAGCTCTTTTCTTTGTGTCACCAAATAATATTACATTGTATGGCTATATCACAATTTGTTTAGCCATTCACCTATTGAAGGATGTCTAAGTTACTTCCAGTTTTTACTCCAAAGCATAAATTGCTAATAAAATTTTGCACAAAATTGTATGTCAGCTTTTATGTTAATGTAAGTTTTCACATTAGTTTTGTAAATATATACAGGTATGATTGTGGAGTCACATGTCAAGACTGTATTTAGTTCTGTAAGAAACTGTCAAACTGGCTTCTAAAGTGGTTGTACCATTTTATTCTCACCATTGATGAATGAGAATTACAGCAGTTGGCTTTATTAGTGTTTGTGATTTTAGTCATCTTAGTAACTGCATAGTGGTATATCCTTGTTATTTTAATTTGCAATTCCTTAATGTGAAATGTTACTATGCTTATTTGCCCCTTGGTGAGATGTCTGTTCAGATATTTTGTCAATTTTTTTTTAAATTGGGTTGCTTATTTTCCTATTTATTTTTGTACTCTGTAACTCTTATGTGTTGCATATATTCTTGTGCGTATACTGAATATGGTAAAATACTAAAACAAAACCAGAGAACAGCTTCATGCTATAGGCTTGACGTTTGATTAAATTAGGGATGCTAACATAGCTTCAAACTCTAGCCTACTTATTTCGTAGTCTTGTGACTTTGGGAAAATTGTATAATCTTGCAGGACCTCCATTTCTTCATGCTTAAAATGGGAATGCTTATTTCGATCTGACATGTTTTTTGTGAGAATTTAATGGAACATCAGGCTTAGTTAGAGATCAAGCAAGAGCTGGAGAGTTTACATATGTACCACAGAGGTGCTGCACAATAAAAATGGTATCCCATATTCCCAACGGTGGAGAGTTTACTCACGCATTAGAAAAATGTTACCAAGTGCCTATTCTATACCAGGAAAAGTTCTGTGTATTTGGATTATATCCATGAGTCTCCATGTGGTAAGATGTATAGATCCTTTAAATTAGATTGTGATATTTACTCATAACTTAGAAAATTAATTTGGAGAAAAACACTAGAAGCAGAAAATTAAGTTAATAGACTCTTCTAAAGTTCAGGCAAAAGATTATAAGAATATAAAAGAAGAATTGAGAATAGCTGAGAGATGACTCAGAAGTAGAATCCACTAGGCAGATTACTAGGTGATTGTGGGTAAAGATAGAGATTGATGTTAAAGATGACTGACTTTTTCTGAATGAAAGATTATAGAATACTGGTTCATAAAGGAATGTAGTCACTTAGATTGTTTTGATAATCAACGTAGCCTTAAACATACACAGATAATATCCCTAGCCAAATTTTCTTTTGTAAAACTCTAACTCAGAAACGCTGATTCCCTAACAGAAGTGTGTAAAGAGTAAATTAAACACTCAAGTCCAGTGAGAAACCTTCAAGGTTAATTTCCAGGACTCATTAGCCACCCCAGATTTTCTATGATGGTTCTAATAATTGCATTGCTGTTCATTTTGAGAGACAGCACAGTATCTGTGCTTTTCTAATAAGGTTGGAAGGTAAATTTTTGCTCAACAGCACGATTGGCTCAGCAGCAAAAAGAACTGCACAATTTCATCTCCAGTTCTAAGTTAAACAGAGCCTAGAGATAATTCCCTTGTGTATTTATAAGGAAGAGTTAAATCCCTCCCAGTGTAATGTAGCACCAGATCGAAGTAAACAGACTATGATTTCAGTGCTAGACACAGCCTTAAGGCAGAAGAAATTACACTGTCATGCAGAGGATATGTAGCTGCTGCTATTTTGGTGCTTGAGTTCTTTGTTGTCACATAGTTGAAGGCATTCCAGATGAGGAAGAGTGTTAACCAACAAAAGGAGAAAATTCCCTGTACATGGCTAGGGGGATATTGGGAAAAAGGAAAGAGTACAATGTTGCGTGAAAACTCCAGTGAGGGGTCTGTACCAATAAACATTGGCTTCAGCTTGTGTCCTCATTCTTATTGGAAGCAAGTTATTCATAAAAAGAAAATGCAAGTTAAAATTTCAAAACCATATTTCATCAAACAGCTTATCTTCTACTGTAGAATCTAAAAGTCATCGTTTCTTCAATTAAATTAGCTTTGAGTTGCTTATAAAATAAAGCTTAGGAAAAAATAGAACATCTATCTTAGTATTTCCAATACCATGAACATAAGATTTTAGGTACATATATTGAAGATGTGTTACAATATCTGCTTTTTTATATCTCTATCTTTGGATGTATATGTAGAGATTATAGGCAGTTGCCTTTAAAAATCAAATGACTAATTTTAGGCAGACCAAACTAGATATATAGGTTTTACTACTCAAAATGAAAGATAAAGGACATTAGAAGAAAAACAAGACAGATTCCTTATCTTCACAATAGGGGGATTCTGCCAGTTACTGAGTATGTCTGTTCAGTTAGGTGTTCTAGAACTGGGAAAATAACTTCAGATTGGGTTTGGAGACAAATCATACTCTCGTGTGATAGATCTGAGCTAAAATTTTATTGCTTAGCTGGCCTCTATAAGCCCCTCCTCTGACTGTTGGGCCACAGTAACATTTTTCATCTTTTGGAATTACTGTTAGTTCAAAACCACTGTTCACTGATCTCCAAAAGGTTTCATTCCTTTTCCCCATTGCAGTCTTCCTAATAAAAAGCTAATGGTCCCTTTGAGGAAAGCTGAAAGAAAGAAGAATGCAAATATGATGCAATGTGGAATTTTAATTGAAAGGTAATTAAGTATGAAAGTAGCATACTATAAAAATTTGTGGGAGACAACACTGAAATAATTTTTCCAAAATAATTACTAAAATCAAGACATATAAGCTAGTAGAGAAAAACAGTAAATGTGCAATCATTTTACCTTATTAAAATAAGCAGTGCTTATATAAATTTAACATATCAGGAAATAAAAACATAAAATCAGTTATGTGATGGTGAGCTAACACATTAACACATTTTAAATGCATGATCCATGCCATTTTTATGACCCTCAATCATGAAGAGTTTGTTCTCTCTTGTTCATTCAGTGTTTACTTGTATTTTCTTTCCAACAGCAATTCTTCACTATCTTCTGAGAACAGTACCCCATGTCCTTTTGAGGCACTATCCCCTCCATAATTCTTAAAAAGTCTGCTGTACTGTCAGTTCTAGTACTCC